GAGTTCAGCCTTACGAAATACATTTCAGTCTTGACCCCATTTTGCAAAGCAGCTCCTCGGCCTGTAGATGTAGTCTATGTCTGTGGTGAGAGTCGGCATCATCACATCCACTTCTACAAAAGAAAACAACTGCTGTAGTCAGACTAGTACAAAAAGCCTGTGGGAAGGAAAGGTGACTTAACACAATGGATTGTCTATATCAACCCTGCTTTGATTTGCAGATGAGTACCTTAAGAGAGAAGTATGTTTAAAACAGGTAATTTGCTGTGCCTGGTTCAGGAGGAACCCAGGACTGCACCAGCATTAATGTTATCTGGATGCACTACTTTCACTTACCACTTAATCACTTGATTAACAATTCAGGCAAAAAGCCACACACACTTCATGCAAATATCTAGCTATCCATTAGGCATAGTAAGTGAAATGAAATTACCATGAGGATATTTCTAAATCGGCTAATAATTGTTGTGTTTTTACAAGCCAGTAACATTGGTTAGCTGATGAGGGGTAGACATCAATGCCTATTTGTTGCATGCAGTTAGTATATGCCCTGGGGAAAAACTTTATTCATCCATACTGCCATCAGTTATAAGCAGGAGTGAGCCCAAGTCATTACCACAATCCTTTCCTTACATTTTCTCTCTGGTTCACAGCACCTATTGTGTCACAGAACTGCTGTCTATAGAATTTAGGTCTGAATTTCACACCTTATTCTCTTTTTACAGAAGTGCTGCTCACACAGTGTATGGAGATTAACAGTTCTGAATAATTTTTAAAAACATAATAAAAGGTAATTTCAAAAGGAGAAATAAAACACATCAAATCCCTTTTTTATATGCCTGTGAATCTGTGGCATTTACAAACAGAGCAATGACCCAACTAAATCTCCATTTGGAGCCTAACTATACATAGATATCAATATTTTGTAGACACAGCAGAAGAGAGGGCATTTTGGCAAGCATAAGTGTACTTGCCTTTGTACCTCTATGTTTGTGTTAAAGACAGAACAAGCCAGATACCTCATGAACAGTAATGGGTTCTGGGTTGTGCGGTACAGAGTAGTCAGAATTCAACATATGTTTGCCAAGTCCCTCACAAAACAGCTGAAAAAACCCAGCATCTTTCCTATTTCACTACATTCAGCTTATGTAAATTAATGGTAAATACAGTATTACGTATTGGATAGCTTCATGAACTATGGGAGTTTCACATCACAAGGGGAAAAAAGTTAAAAGAAATTTACTGTGTTTAAAATCAACTTTATCAGATTTAGAAACAAATACAGTGGGCTTTAAGTAATAATGCGAAAGCAGGCAGACAAGTTAATTGTTTTATTTTGGTTGTTTGGGGTTTTTTTAATAGGTTTCTTTAAGGATTTATTTATAGTTCTTTGTGTATAACATTATTGCAGTGTTTTTCCAATTGTGATGTTTCTCTTTGAGGATAGTTACAACAATTTTTTTCCCCTGTATCTTAAATTTAGAACTGTATATGCTACCTTTTTTTTCTTTTTTATCTGGGAATATATATGGATGTATGGCCTTAAATTAATATTGCATTCAGCCCAAAGGCCTTACAGATATGCACAATGTCTAAGTTATGGCAGATACAGGAATGAGGTTTTCTCTGCTTTATATTTGACAATTGAATACTTTCACGATCACGCTCCATGATCCCAGCACAGGACACAGCAGCCAGCAGGCTGCTGTTCAGGCTGGCCCTGCTGCACCTGGCATATAAAATGCAGAGCAGACCACAAGAGCTCTCACTACGCTCCCTGTCAGCGCCTTGTTCGTACAGATGAGCCAAACATTTGATCAAATTAATTGTATCCTGATCACATATGTTCTTTTGCCAGGCAATAAAAGAATTCTAAATCCTCTCCCCCCACACACTTCAAATAATTCTTATTCACCTTCATATCTGTCCATGCACAGCTGTTTTTTATTTCTTTTATTACAAAACTCAGAACAATCAGGACCAGAGGTTTACTTTCCGAATGAGACAGAAGAGGCAGGGTAGGTAATATCCCAGCCACGGCCTAGGCTAGTAAGAAAGAGCAGCCAAGCTGGTTAAGTGCAATATCATTCACTTGTCTTACAGTGTTCTCCTAACACTTCTCTCCTTGATGTAACTCTGCTCTAGCCTTTTGGCCATTTGATCATGTAAAGTTAATAGAAGTGGAATATTTAAAAGTGCTTTATCAACTTACTGCCACTGCTGTGACTGCCTACAGTAACACCCTTTGCTGACTTCAGGAAGAGGAGAACTAGATCAGTGTCTACCCTTTTTACTTTCCTAAGTATTTGCAGTCAGCCTTCTGCTGACTTGCCAACGCTGTGTGGTGAACTGCTGAACGTGCCCACCCCACCCTGATAGTTAATGGCACAGTAAAGGAGCCCGCTTAGGAAATAAGGTGTTTCCATACCAGTTACTTTGCAGATGATTGATATCTATGTCTTGGTTGGGATTTTCCCGAGGGTGCCCCAAAATACCTGGAGACAAGAGCTCCTGCGCGAGTCCATGAAGAAGACATGCCAGGCACCCACTCCCTCCGGTGCAGTGAGGCAACGCTGTGGGCAACGCTGGCGCCCCAGGAGGATGGGAAGCAGGAGCTGCCTCCAGCCCTGCCCTGCAGGAAAGTGGTTTTAATTTCACCAGGCAGCCCCACTCTTCACATGGCTGTGGGCAGTGGCCATCTCTGCACAGTGCTGGGAGAGGCAGCATGGGGAGCAGGCTGAGGCACAGCCACACCTGGGTAACAATTGTACATCCACGTCTGTATTCCATACCCACACATCCCAAAGGACTTTGCTGCATGTGACTTTAGACCCTCTGAGACAGGTTCAGGGTTGACTGATCATCTTGATGTGACTACATTGTAACAGCAGAATGCATCAGTATCATGGTAGAAGAGCTCCAAATTTTCATTGCCACCATCATCTAAAACTCACACCTGAGGATAAATTTGTTTCCAGCTCACAAACTGAATTTAAAATTGAGCACGTACTCATGCTTGAATTTAAAACAGAGCTATGCTTTCTACTCAACTTCTAACTTCTTTGAGATAAGAGTCTTCTCTTTAAGTAATACAAAAAAACCCCCATAGTTTCATAAGTAACAGAGTATTTCCAACTAGATTCTTAAAAAGTACAGTGTACTTTTTGTTGTAAATCAAGGAGCAAAAAAGACAAAGATGTGATGAGGAAAAAGTACATGAAAGACAAAAGATAACATGTTACATATAGTCACAGAGATTAATAATTTGAAAGTTTCAATGGAAAGAAAGTGGGTTTCAAGCTTTTTGGTAAAATGAGAACATCATCCTGGTATTTAATTCTTCTGGTAGCATGTTGTTTGATCAATCAGTTATTTATAAAAACTTGGGTAAGTTTACTTGCACTTACAACTGGCCTTCTTGAGATAGTTTTAGAAAAAAAAAAATTACAACCTTTTTCATAATAAGCTGTACTTGTGCCCTTCACTTGGGCCTGTAATTTTGTACAACTGTGTTATATGAATATTCCAGCAAACACATTGCTGGTATGCAGGGCCATCAGGTTTCTTTTTGTAGTTCTTTAGAAGCAACAAGAAGAAACCACAATTTGTTCATAAATATCAGGCAAAGAGATTTAGGTGAAATCCAGCAAATGTCTTCCTTGCTCATCACAAAATATTTGCCAGGATTGCACTGGGCTAAAAAAAGCAGAAATTTCAAAGCACAAAACCTCTAGGTTCGTTTCCTGTGCCCAGAGAAACCCAGTCAAATACTCTAAAGATCAGTGAAGTGTCCCTTCACCTTTGGACAAATGGCTTGGTCTTGTTTCAAACAGTAGTTTACAAAATCCTTTCCCCAAACTTCTTATAGAATCACAGAATTGTTTGGTTTCAAAAAGACTTGTAAGATCATCAAGTCCAATCATTACCCCAGCACTGCCAAGTCCACCACTAAATCGTGTCCCTAAGCACCGACGGTGATTCTTTAGAGCTCTGATCTTTGGAATAGGGGACAAGGAGGGTGTGTGTGCTGTGATTAGGAGAGGCTCAATAATTTCTGTGAGAGCACTTCTATCCTGCTCCTTGGCCAGAAAAGTCCTCCAGCTATTGACCAGCTGGCTGAGAAGCCAATGTGTCTGCAAGGCTTTCAACATGGATAAGTGTTTGATGTATTACTTCCAGTAAACCCAGCAGGCAGGTTAATTCCTCTGCAGTCCTGAGAACTTACATGAGGTATTATAAGAGAAGTCACCACCTCTGACGCACACAAGATGGAAAGGAAAGGAGAAGGAAAAATTCAGTTCAAAGATGCCAGAAATCACCTTGACCTCTGAAGAGAAGCAGCTGTCCATCTGTCCTCTGAGGAGGAGAGGACTATCAATCAGTTCAGAGTTATTAGGCAGAGGACAATGGTGCTGGCACTAACATAAGCCCAAATCTTGCCTATCCACTTCTCTCCTTTGAGCAGCTCTGTCTTGCTCTGTAAGGGGCTCTCCCACTGGTAGAAAATAATGAGATGACCTGATAGAGGTAAAATTAGTGGAATTTGAAAACTTACAATTAAGGTTTTCATCACAGTTTGATCCATTCACAGACACTTTCCTTTCGAGTCTGCAAGGAGCTGTTATAGTTTTTATATTATTATATAATTCATATAATTGCCTAAGGAAATTAGCTGGTGAATTCCTATGCAACATGTGTGGAAGTTGTTAATCTCATGGGGTTTGTAAACTCTTGTGTTAAAGATACAGTTGAATGCCCACTAACTTGTCTAAGACTGTCATTATTTATAAACTACAAAATTAACCTGTGCACTTCAAGAAAGTGCAATTTACTTACCAGTAGATGGAATTAAGAAACTGATATAATTTTTACCTGTTATCTTTCCTCATCACACATTATTACACTGTAAGTATCAGTGGAGAGAAATTGCTATGGAAATGATTTTGAGACTTAAAAGAGTGAGATAGAATTTTATTTTTTCAAATAGAAAATTGCTCACATCCAGCCCATTTAGACACATTCAATACATTCCAGCACACCACATCATACCCCAAAATGACAGTGCCAAGAACTTAAAAATGAACAAATCTATTATAAATTAGTGAGGCAATTCACAGAAAAGACTGAGCAGCAAGAAAACTCATAACCAAACCAGTGTTTAAATACAGTTCTAATAAAAGCCAACCATATCAAATTGACCTGTGAACAGTGCACATAGCTTCCCTTTTTTTTACCTCCTTCTCTACTCTCATAATACACAAAGACCTGCTTTAAATGACTTAATTAAGAGTCTATTATTTTCTAAATCACTTGCACAGTTTATTTTTGGTTCTAATCTGGTGAGGTACTTAATATCAGGTAGGGTTACAGTGGCCTGACAGGTTTTTCCACCCAAGAGCAGACACGTGTTTTTGGGTGCAGCAAGTATTACAACCACATGGCGTCTAGAAAAAGTATTCTTTTAGTAAGAATATTTTTGAAGTCCCTAAAGTGCTGATGGCCCTCAGCTTCTGTTGTCTCTAATACTCCCAGCAATGCAAAACTTTGGAGCTAAAGGGAAAGCACCCTTTTGTATTTGGTTTTATAGCAGAACAGGTATCTCCTGTAAACTGAAATCTCACTTTTTAAAAATACCTTGAAAATACTTTGACTCTCTGTTTTTCTTCAGAAAGCTGTGATAAATGTTCTAGACTGTCTTGTTCTATGGGATTACATGAGGCTTCTAGCAACAGTGATGAAACCCAGAAATTTTCTCCACATAACTGGAAATACCAGCAGAACTCAACAGAGAAAACTAAAATATTTATTGCTGCTCTGCCTCTCCTACTTTGTGTCAATCTTGAGTAATAGTTTAAAAAAATCAATCACTGCAACTAATCTCAATAAAGATGTCATCTGAACAATAGGTATGCTTAGCCTATGAGTGACAGGGGAAAAAAAGATGGTAATTTTGGAACACATTCAAGGATTCTCCTCTGTCTTTCCACTGTGATGGAAGACAAATGGTACTTTTAAAGCCCTGCCTGTTACGTTTTTAGACCATCCCTTCAAGTTATAGTAACTCAACCTTGTTTAAAATCCTAATTCATATTTTCTTGCTAATTATTTACCAAATTGGTAAGTCTACTCTGCAATGCACAGCTTTTCCTATACACAACTGTTGAAAATACACATTTTTCAACCAAAATCAGAGACAACATCCAAACTGTAAAATGTAATCTGACATTTATCCTCTTTAAACAGTCAAATAAATAAGAACACATAAATAGTGTAGAACAACAGCATAGTCCTTGTATATTTATCTGTGGCCAATAGTAAGAACTTGCTTTTATATTTAGAATGGGTATTTCAAATTTCTTTAATACAGCAAAAAAAACCCTGAAGATAATTAATAAGTTATTGTGACAGAATCCAGTGTGCCTGTTACCCTACAAGTACCTACCAAGTGGTTTTTTAGTTTAAACCTTTTGTGACAGGAAGGCTTCTAGCTTTGGCTGTACCGCAGGCAAATGCTGCACATTAGCACCATTCATGAAATAATGAGAACATCAAATCTTCTCAGAGCATGAGGTAAAATCACATTCAAAAATAAACAGTCTTTCAGTTTCTCTTTCTTGTTTTTTTTCTGTTTTCAGTTTGAAAATCTGGTAATATTCCCAACTGTATGTATGATGCACTAATCTTAAATTGCGGAATTACCTCAGATTTAAGAAAGTACTTAAATTAGGAGAACTTCTGCAACATCTGTTTTGCCAATATCTACAAATGCACGTACAACAAAGACAGGGGATAGTTCCTTTAAGCTAAAAATATGCATATATTCTTAAGTAGGAAGACAAATGTAGTTTAAATGCAGCCACAATATTTTCTATCAAATGTTGATATTACAAACTCAACATTTTTTGCAGTCCTTTTCAGGAATTATTCTCAGGGAGATCTTTAACTGCTATACCACTCATTGCACCCTATGGCACAACTCGTGATAGGTTTTATCAAGCAACTGTAAAAAGTCTACCATAGTAAAGGCTACCCTATAAATATCAGTTGGGTCTGGATTACTATTTTTGAATGATCTTTTATTGTATTTTAAAGACCTTAATCTCTGACATACAGAAACTTTTTTGAGCATGTAACAGCTTTAAGGGTAGTCACTCCTTTGATAATCCCTTACCATTTTACAAAATGTAGGGATTTAATATCACTTTAACTTCTTGTTCAAAAATACACAGTGCAATAAAACTTACAAATACCTGAAAAATTAATTTCTGACATTGTATTTACAGTAGTTTTAGTGAGTGCTTATATGTAGTCATTAGTCAAATGACTCTTCCTCCACCAGAAATAAAATCTAATCCTATTTTTATATGAGATGCTTGTTTTCTGACTTTTGCATAGTTGACCATGGCTTGGCTGTGCCAAAATATTAACAAAAGCACATACAGATTCAGACAAACAGATGAACAGTAATGCTGTCTCAAAAATACGAAGTGATGTCATCATGTTCCTCAGAAACTCTACTCTCAGCATTAAAATAAAATTCCAAGAGAATAATAGAGCTTTGATTTCCCTTTCACAGACCCTGATGCCCATCAGTCAGGCAAATTCAGTCCAAATCTGTATGCCAGTGATCCTTTGAGCTGCCAGTGAAACGACTCACTCCAGTATGAGTAAAAGAAGTGCTTAGAAGCTTTTGATAACAAAACGACATGTTTCCCAAATAAGCTGATTTTAAATTTTAATTCCTTCATTTTTCAGAAGACTGTATCTCCATGATTGGGAATATTGCTGAAATGATGTTTATTTGCATGTGGCTGTTTAAATCCTGCTCAGCTGGTAGCCTCTGGATAATATAAGACTTTCAAAGTGCTGGTCTTCTGCTTTTTCTTTCACTCTCTGCTCCTCTAAGGTACACACAAGTTTGTCTCTTTCTTCCACCACTTTCATCATCTCAATAAAAATTTCATCCTCCTCATTCAGATCCTCCTCATCTTTAAGGCTGTCTAGAAGATCACAAAAAAGTGATGAAAATCCAGATCACTGTTTGCATTTTAACTGTTACGAGGACAGCTTGAATTAACATTATAGTTAATGACAAATTAAGTCAATAGCAGTTAGTACTTTTCAAGTTATAGTTCAGGGAAATTTTCCACTGCATTTGGGCCATTTGAAGTTGACCATTAAGGCTCCTAATGCCTAGAGTAGACTTTTTAACAAAATTTGGACTGGAAAGGATAGGAAAAGCACTGCTTGTTTATAAAAACAATTAAGATGGAGTTTAAATTTAGTTTATAAGGTAAAAAGCCCAAAATGAAATGTAGTGCTTGTAAGAAAATAGGAAATATTTTTCAGAAAATGTATTGAAAACTGCCTTCACTTACAATCCACATGCCTAAACACAACAGGATATTTTGGAGTATTCAGTGCTCTGGAACCTCTCTTGTCCCTTGACTCCTCCTACCCATGCTCGTTTCTCAAAGACCAAATGGAAGGACAAGCCCAAACTTTAATTCTAAGTACCTAAAAGCAGTTCCAAAATGCTGTGGCAGCCATCAATGCTACACAAAAGCAGATAACTCTTTATTTAGGTGGCTGAAGAAGCTACTTTCCACTGCTGCCCATTATTGCATGGTAGCTGGACATTAATGCCTGGAGAGCACAATTAGCATAATTACACATGCAGTGCTTCTCATCCAGTTCAGTGCAGAGCTGGGCAGGTCAGCTCAGCTGTCTTCACGAGGAGTCAGATGAGAAGATCTCACAAGTCACATTTTGCTGGCTGAGCTGCACTCGCTGAGAGCACAGGAGCCTCAGCCATCCTGGTCCCTTCTGGAGCAAACAGGGATGCACACAGGCATGGTCTGTCACTGCGGACTGGAGAACACCGTCCCCTTTGACTTACCATCAATGGCCATTTTCTCCCTCAGCTTTTGTTCCAACCTGCTTTGGTGGTCCTCCAGTTCTAGCTCTTGGGCTCTAGGTACAGCAAAAAGTATGTTAAAGAATAAGCTTTATTTCAATAAAGACATATATATTGTTTCAACCAAGAGATTCTGTGTTCTATTTATCCTCTACTTTCTCCTCATGGGCAGTCAGGGCTAAAAGGTTTTCCTATGCCATCATCTCCACAGCAGAAGTACCACTACCACCTTTTGCATTATGTATCAGATTCAGCTCCCTCATACGGTGCAACACTCAAGGCTTTTCACCATCTGTGAATTGTTGGTGGCACCCACAATGTAACTCCAGATAGGGCTGAACACTCCCACACACGAAGGGCCCTGCCAGGCCCTCTGCACAGGAACAGGGCCTGAGGCAAAGGAATTAACACGTGTACACATCCAGACAACAACTTTTTGTGTCCTGTGGTGGTAAAAGCTGCCTGCTTTTGCTTTTTTTCACTCCACTTTGCAGGCAGTGTAGGCAGGAAGCATTGCTACCAAAACACCCAATGGCAATTGAAGGGGCAAGAAGAGTTTTGGCCCCTGGCAGCATCAGCACAGATGGGGAGAGGCTGATAAACAGCAACGAGCAGCCCACATTGGTGTGAAATCCAGGGCTGAGCAATGACTGCTGCAGCTCTCATTGCCTTCCCACATTGCCCACAAATAGTGGAGAAAATAGCTGAGAGTCACCTCCGCCTGTCTCTTGGGTGTGTTTCTAAGAGGGCGAGGTGAGGGAGCTACAGCAAATATTGTTTCCATCAACCACAACTGTGGCATCTGAGGTGGGATTTATCTGCTTGTTTTGCTGCTGTAGTGAATTCCTAGATCTTTTTCCCTATATCCAGTAAAAACTGAGATTAAGTTGTCAGACTACTTTTCTTCCAAAGGTGAAAGTGCCCCAGTGTTAGACCCACATGATGTAAAGGCATCTACGTGCTTTGTTGGTTCAGAGCATTATACAGGACTGAAATAATTGCACCACTGCAAGAGGGAAGAATGAGGAGGGCTCAACTACAAATCTGTGTTCAAAACAGATTGTAGCTACTCTGGGTATGTTTATTCCACAACTGTCTCAAACTGCAGCACACAGCAAGGTGTTCAGGTGTATTGTGAGTACACTTTTACCCCTCTCCCCTCCACATCTTTAATACTAATGCTTGTCTTTACTTACATAATCAGGAGCTCAGACTCATAACGCATTAACTTATTCTTCTCCAGGACCAGCTCAAACCATTCATGTAGCATCTGAGTTTCATCTTTTGTGCCTGAATCTGTATAAAATAGGAGATTTTAGTGTGCATTACCAGCTTTCTTTCCCATGCTTTTGCCAATTAAGTTCCCTTTCAATAGTCCTGTGTAAGCCAATGTGAGCTCAAATGGAGATGGTTTTGCTGTATGCAATGTACATCAATACTGACTGGGTACAACAGGTAAAACAGTTTTGTCTACCTCTGGTTGACTGTTGTGGCTTATTACAGATAAAGATGCACTAGATTATAGAACACTTCTGGTTTAAAGCTTTTCCTTTCTAATAATCATATAGACTTTCTTTTTAGTGGGCACTTTGTCTTTCTCTTAGTTCTGCCTTTGATAAGATAGTTTCTCTGTTGAAGCTGGACTTCAGAGCTGAACTATATGTCTAAGTGGATATTCCACATCCCATTAACACAATCAGACTTCAGGATGCACATGCTGGCAAGTATCAACTTAGTCCCTGCTTCCAGTGGACATCAGGAAATTTCCATTCACTTGTCAATAGGCCTCTAAATCTCCATCTGCTTTGAATGACGAATCTATGATTATTGGGTGGTTCTAAAACACTTTGGGCCAGGGCATCACTGGTAGACACTACACAGACACAAAACACAAGATGGTCTCTCCAGAGCTTGACTCTGCCTTGCAGAGGAGCACAGAGGATGGATCTCTTTTACCAGGTGAGGGCCTTTACTACTCCTAAAATACCATCTGTACGAAACTCTTTGGCAATGAAGAACCCCTGGGAGTTTTCAAATGGCAAGTCAGAACACATATGTATTTCTTATCCTCATTGCCCTTTTTAACATCCTCATCACTTCACAATTTCCACTCATTTTCTCCACAAAGTAAAACCATCCCATCATCTTTAGATGCAGAATTACAGCAACAGTGATGGCACTGTTAACACACCTCCCACGTCTGCTTTGCACATCCATTGCCTGATGCCACAAAACAGTGATCACTTGTACGAAGAAAATACCTTACACTAGTCCAGGTTGAGGCAACAATTTAGGTGACACACTGGCACCTTCAGAGGCATAAAACCAACAGCCAGCCTGTGCTCCTGTCCCAACATGTGGTATTTACAGACGTCACTATACATGTTAGAGGCAGGGACAGTCAGACCCGGGACAAAGCAAAAGGAGGTGCCACCGGCGGGCAGGGGAACACCAGGCCTCTGGCTCCTCCGTCCTTATACCACACTGCTGGATAATCAAGCATAAAATCCCCGTAATGCAGCCTGCCCGTTTTCTGGTGGTGGGAAACTTATGTGATTTCTCCTTTAAGAGGACTGCACCTTTATTTCAGATGACTGAGAGCACTGAAATTTAAACCCAAAGGTGTCAGGTTCAAGCTCCAGAGACACCAATTACAAGAGCATAATTAAACTAGGTTACCAAGGGGAGAGACAGACAGAGTCCTGGAAAGTTCAGCAGTGTTTCTGATGCCTTTCTGTCACAGTTTTGAAATGTGCTTTGCTCTTGGCCCTAGGAATTACCCTCTTGTCTCTACGGCTTCACCTGTCCCTCACTTTATGTCAAAGCCAGAGAGCAGCAGTTCGAAGACCAGCTCCTTTGGGCAGTATTGATCTGCACCCAGTGCAGCCCTTTAGCAATCTTCCTGAGTATGAGGGAAACTGTTGGGTGACCATCTGTGTGCTTTCACCAGCCACCATTATCCCAGGAAATGCAGGTCACTTCCTGTCAGTGTCAGAGGAATGACAAGGACAAGAGTCATGGTGTCTTGAGTGCTGTTCTGCAGTTTCCCATCAGGACTTGACCCCGACTGGAAATCACCATGAAACAGGAGGATAAACAGCAGGAGAGGGCAGAGCAATCTTGCTTCAATTTCGCCGTGATTCCATTAAAATTTGGCAGCAATAGATGTTTTCCTGTGGGATCTTCCAGGTCAGCAAGTGGTGATAAAAAGCGTCTTCTCAGTGACTGCTGGAGCAGTCCTTGCTGGAACATGCCAGTTTCTCACAGATCCAGTGCAGGATACAGCCCTAGCTAAAAGAGTCTTAGGTCTTTGTATGTCACCATAAGAGGTTATCATCAAAATTTGGTCTATATTACTGTCAGTAAAAACATTGCAATTGCAGGTACACATAAGTCCTGCACAGACACAGAGGGTTACTAGATCCTTTTTGTTTTCTTATTTAGGCAAAAATATTCCTCCTTTTAACTTTTCCACCTTATACTTTAAAATCTCTGTATCTCTAATAAAAGACTGTGTATTGTGGGTTGATTGAGGTAAATAAAGAAAATGCACTTTGAAAGAAAACACTCATTTTAGCAAAATCCTCAGTGCAAGCTGAAATAAAAATAGCCCTATTTTTTTCCATCTCCTCCATCCCACAGAACGCCCCCTAAGTGTTCCAAATGGCATTTTACCCCTGAGCTTTTCAAATGTTTGTTACCAACAATGCTAATAGTTATTATTTGAGTGTGATGGAGTGCTTGATGCTTTCCAAGAGCAGAGCAAGCCAATGAAGTATTTTGTATAACACAATGCAACAGATCTTAAATGTTAGATGGAAAACAATTTATGAGTGTATTTTGTGAGCCAGGTTGGCTTTTCCTTACAGCATTGCTAAAGTAAACCTTTCCTCCTGGTTTACCAAGTCTCCTTTAACTGAGATCCATTTGAAAGTCAAACATTCTTCTAATGACATCATAAGTACTTCTATTTCCATCCCTTTTGAGGGAATGACAGGCTGCAGAGGAGTATTTACTGAACACTGTTCTCAAAACCTGAACCTTCTCCACACAGTCATCACACAGTAAAGGGGGCTTAGCCAGTTTGCACCCTTTTATAATATAATGGCCAGCCTTCGCGAGCGAAGATCCGGGGAAGGTCCTTACACCTTCCAGCCTGCGCATTGGATTTTTTAGGTGAGACACAGTGTGCGCAGAACTGAGCCCACCCTTTAATCCTAAGGTTCATCTGCCGAGGCCAAGCGAGCTTGGACAGTGGCAGCGAGGTCCTCAGGACGTAGGTGGGTTGCCTTTAAGGGCTAACGAGCCCCACCTGCCCGGGAGTGGCCCTGACCGGGAATCGAACCCGGGTCTCGGAGGTGATAGCGCCGCGCCTTCACCACTAGACCACCAGGGGCTCCTTGCACCCTTTTAGGAACAGTTAAACCTCATATTCCCTATTCCTACAGGTTTTCCACTGATTTCTTTTGACTCCATTGAAAATTCCAAGAAACCCTGGATATGCTCCTTATGAAATAAAAAACTAGGTACGCCATCTGCAAATATTTGTTCACCTTCCAAAACATGGAGAGCTCTCTTAACATTCTCTCAAAGTAGATTTTCTTCTTTACCATCAGTCTTCATGATTTATTTAGTCAACTGATCCATTATGCTAATTTCAGTGGAAAACATGTTTCGAGGTTTTATTTCTGTGTTTTCTTGTAGGCAGAAGATCTCCATAAGCCTCCACAAATGTCAGTGGAAAACAAAGAAACGGTACATCAGTGATTTATTATTTGGTATTTCGAACCAGAATAAAGGGAATAATGAGCATGAAAAATTATTCATAGAACTGATACTATTTCTTTTTTCTTTTTTTTTTAATGCATGAATTGTTGTCACTACAATTAGAAGATCATCAAAACCTCATTTTGCTCATCAGTCTTCACGGCAGTTGTTTCGCACCCACGCATGTTCTCTTCTAATTCAGTTGAGGAGCTAATGAATAACTCCCCCTAACAAAGGGGCCATTCATCCCGGGCTCACAGAATTATTAGAGGAGAGTTGCGTAAATGTCACTGAAGACTAGTGTTTGCAGGCCTGCCTCTAAATTTGGTTATTCACAACCTTTGCAGTTCAATATTATTGCTGAACTGTGATCGTTTTCTAATTACCTTAATAATACCTATTAAATCACTTCAATTGCATAAGCGCAGACCTGCTTAAGTACAACTTAACCTAATAAACACTGGTCATTCATTAAACAATAATGCTTGTTATTTTTAAGAAGGTTGAACAGAATATTAAACTCACCGATTCCTGCATCATTACACATATTCTAATACAAGTAACAAAGCACTCACATTTTGTTTGGGAAACTTATGGCTTCATGCTTTTGCACCAGGAGAGTTATTGAGAAACAGTAACATGCTACATTTCAGTATCTGCCCTATTTGTAACTGGCCACCTACACACAAACAATCAACAGGGAGAAAAAAAAAATTGTACTTTCACCTTAATGAGGGCAATCCAATTACTAAGGATGGCAAGAGAATGAGAAGCATCGATCTCTTGGCAGACAGCCTTCTTTAGGAAATGCGATTGTCAAAACAGCAAAAACAAGAGGTGGCTTTAGGCCATTTATCCTGGTATTCGGTGTCTATCCCAAGAGTTAGAACCTTCTTGTTCTTCTGTATTTTTGAGGTTTCCAAAAAACAACCACCTTTATACAACTCCGCACAAAAAAGCTAATGTTCTGAATCCTCAAAGCCTTTTGAGCAGACTTTCTCACGGGCAGTAAGGTAGGTAGAGTTTGATAAGAGGTTATGCTTTCATTTAAAAAAAAAAATGCTAACCTTTTAAATAACATTTGAATAGGCTGACACTATCAATTCTAGGAAATTACTAAATAAATAAAAAAAGTTGGGTAAATGCTGTCTTGCTGAACTGATTAGTTCAGTGTCAGAATAGGGGCGATAGCTGCTATGAAATAAGGCATTAAAAAGACCAAAATGTAGAGATTGGGCTGGGTTGCCTGGCTAAGACAACAACAAGATTAAGTGCCAAAACATATCTAGGTTTTCCGTGTTGTGCAACTGCCTGTCATGAAAGCACAAGGTTCAGTTTTCTAAAACAGAGGTAAATAAAGACACCTTTGCACTCAGGTTGTCAGCTCACCAGAGTGCCTTCAGCACAGAACCACAGCCCCCTCTGAAGTTCCTTACAGGCACATGTAGTCACACCCTCATTTTGAGCCTGGCAGGAGCCCCCAGATGTCCCTTCCCTCTCCAAAAGGTCTCCCCAGCTTCACCCCATGTGTGCTGGGGAGCAGTGGCAAGGCTATGCCAGTGGCAGGAACGCTGCAGCCCTGAGTGCTTGGGACTGTTGGCTCAGCCGAAGGAAAACCTTGCCTCTGGCTGAGGCCAGGTTGACATGCCTGTTATCTCCTGCCCATTGAGGGAAAAGCTGCACTGTTAAGGTCTCTGTGCCTGCATGCTGCTGTTGCTATAGCATGGCCACTGGCTCTAATCATATTAATGGCATTTCACACTCCAGGAGAAGTCATTAAGGACTCTGTTACTAGGCATGGGCTGCTGCTGGCTTGGTAACTGAGATACAGCTCCTGGAAACCTCACTGGTTCCCTATGATGAAATTAAGCTCAGGATGGGATTTAAAAAAAAGAAGGGGGCATGTTGGGCAGTGGGGCAAAATGTAGATTAAGGTTCAATAGCAAGGTAAATAATTCTAACTCCGTGATAACCAACAAAAAATTTACATCATTCAATGTAAAGATGTATGAGCTAACAGAGCTAAAAGAAGAAGGTTAAACAATTATTTTTGTCCTTCCAGTTATTGTTTCTTTTCAGATTTCACACCAAATTATTTCATTATAATCATTAAATCCCTCTACTTTGAAACAGGTTAAAAAACCACCGCCAAACAAAAAACAACTGCTCTGTGTACCTGCTTCTCCTCTTAGTTCTCTCTCCAGTTCGACACCAGAAATCTCCAGAGCTCTTTGTCTTTCCTCCAACTCTTCTAGTTGGCGTTGGACTGCCTGCAAAATTATAATGATATAAAAGCTACAGATATAACTTCAAGATTCAGAGACAAAAGATGGTCTCAGTGGTTAGAGAAACAGCTCGAAAAGGTCTCAGAGGAGTCCTGGCTCTTGCCAACTCACTGAGTGTACCAGGCGCCTACACAATTTAATAATTCCACTAGGTATCTATGGCACTTTTATGTGGCTAAGTATCATAGGTACCAGAAGAACCTCAGTTTTTCTGAGCTTTAGCTCTCCCATTGAAAATCAGAGATGACAGAGATCATATGTGTTTCACAGAGTGTAAAAAGTCAATACCTTAACATATTCAGAGACACATATTCTGTGATGTTACATGACTAAAGCTCATATAAATATTGAAGGTTTACAGCTAGAAAGCTCTGCTAGCTATTTTGATGTCCACAGGTTTTTGTTGTTTGTTTTACTTTCATATTTCACAAATTTTTCACCTAGAAAGAAAAAGGTGTAATAGCTAAGAAGTGATAATTCAGTGGCACTTCAGGAAGGACTTCTACATTCATTGTCCATCCCTTTTTAAATAAGATTTTTCAGAAGTGTCATGGGGCTAATAGGCATAAAACATCTGAAAAGGCTGAAATGTCAAAGATGGATGTTCAGCAGTTCCCATTTCAGGCTGTGTTAGGGCATTCCAAACCAAGCCCTCAACAGTAGCCTAACAAACATGTAAGATGATTCAAAAACTTTGGACTTAGCATTAAAAGTAAGAGAAGGCATGTATGCATCTAATTTTACCTTGAGATAATTTACAATTCTCGGATAAAAACCAGAACACAGTTGCTCCTATTTCGTATTAAAATACACCCAAGATCACACTGTGCAGAAGCACATTCACCCATCTTAAACTGTAACTGGAAATAACAACACATCAGTAGAGTCCAGAGCTTTCCCAGCATTTTCTGAAGAGCAAGGCCTGTACAAAATGAAGTGACTTTCCATCATTGAGAAAGAAAATGGTTCACTTCCATTGTTATAGCAGAGGGAAAACAAAAGCCATCGCTGTATTTTTGTATCCTCCTGCTGTACATAGAGGTAGTAGCTGAGTTTCTTACATTCTATCGGGTTGATGTTATTTCCCCATCTCTTTTCAGTGCATTCTCCTCTTACTGCCAGTCACCATTCCCTATTGTTCTTCATATACAATTACAAAATTAGGATGATCTGGGGCACACATGCATTTGTCACACAGAGAGAGATGCAGGGCCCTCCCACATCCACCCCTTCCTGCTCCTGATGGTTGGGGGAACTTCAGCACAGAAGGCAGTGAGCAGCAGTGAGGAGTCAGGGGAGCTGCAGAACCCACTTTGGGTACCGCCATCCTCGCTAGTCACTCTTGAGAGACAAAGGGGGCATCTGCAAGCTACATTTTCACCTGTGCTTTGTGAAGCCTCTTCAGCTCCTCTTGTTTAATCAACTGCTTTGTCTCCTTCTCCAGCTTCCTTCTCCTTCTGAGAGCTGTTTTTGCCTATAAAAGAGAGAGATAGAGAAAAAAAAAAAGGTAATCAAAGCATAAGTACACCAATTACAGGTTTCCTAAAACCTTCCCCAGAATCACAGAGCTGCTGAGGTTGTGACAAACCTCTGGAGTCCATCTAACCTGATCCCCTGCCCAAAGTGGGTGAGCTACTGCAGGGTTCTTGGGGCAACCTCACCAAAATGAAACAAAATTTTACATGCATTTGCTTACATTGACTTTAAATCATTACAAGCTCTTAATGCAATCCTGAGTGAGTGTGAACTGTGTCTATCAATAAAAAACGTTTGAATCACAAAGCTGACTGTATACAACATCCCACTAGACATGGCCAGGCACCGGCTGGGGAAGCATCAGTTTGAGGAAATTCAAACCCATTTCTACTGCTGCAGCTGCTAAGTAGAAAAATCCACTTTGGATCTCCTGTAACACAGTAAGAGGGACACAGCTGAAACAGCCAGCTATCATGGGACACTACCTGAAGCCCAATGAAACCTTCCCCAATGCCATTTCTCTACTGCATTACAGAGGTTTTTGCCTTTCCCCAGGCACCTGTTGCTGCTGCCAGGAGATCTGGGCAGCAAATGCTTCAGGGCTGGTTAGGGAATCGCCTGCCATTGCTCTGTCTTGCCTTTGACCCGAGCTAACCTGAAATGCTTCAAGGCTGTGGTGTTCCCATTTTGGAGGAGACAGAATATATGAGCACTGCAGACAAGACAATTAAATAATCAACCAGCCAGGATGCCACTAAAATTTTTCCCACCGAATTTCGCCAGGTACAAGTGGTAGCACTGACAAAACAGCAGCCAGAACTGGTAGGAAGCAGCTGAATGAAACATGCTGAGTGGAGTATGTGCATCAAAACTGAATTGCTGCTAATGTCTGTGTGTGACAGCTGCTTGTTCACTCCATTTCTGGCAGCTGCCCCGGAGCGCTGCCTTCTCCCTGCCTGGTCCTGCCCTCCCTGGGACTGCCTGGACTGTCGGGGGTTGCTTCCATCCAGGTGGCTCTCGTGTCTCCCTTCTTTTCTCTGTTTTGTTTAAACCTTATTTAATTCACCATAACATTATCCAGCTATAGATTGTCCTTCCTGTAACAGGAAAGATGAGAGAAGAATTCTGACATATCAGTGCATCCTGACACAGAGCCACCTGTGACAAGTGCTGCCACACATTGCTGTGCTTCTTCCTCACGGCATTTCAGTTCCTCTGGAGCTGCACAACTAGGTTTCTGTTCAAAGTCTCACTTCAGCTCAGCTGATTTTTCCTGTGTACTGTACTTTGTTTTCCTTCCTCCTCACCCACTCCGCCCCCCCCGCCAAAAGGCAACAAATCAAAAGGCCACCTCATACTATTAATTCCATTCACAGATACCTTCCACAGTAAAGAGGTAAACACATTTCCCATGAGCTATTCAGTCAACAAAAGCTCTGTTCCCTCACACCAGAGCCGGGTACTGAAAGTTCACTGTGCTTTTAACCCCACGGCTCTTGCTTGCACGGGAGGGCTCAGGACCCAGGTGGGCAGTCGGCCCTTTTGGTGTGAAGGGTCTGGGTGTGGCTTCATGGCTCACACACTTGTGCTGATCAGGATAAACAGAGTGTTTTCCAGGCAACCAGCCTGTAGCACTTCTCAAATGAAGCCGTATTTCCCCAAAGGAAATCTGCATCTGTTTGGTTTAATTTTTTCAACAGTTTGCTTGTTGGGCTACGTATTAAGGCCACTTAAGAATGCAGCTTCAAAGTGGTTTCAATGAAACATGCCTGCTTGTCAAATTAAGACCTCCTCTGTCAACGCTGGTATAACCTGGGGGAATTAAAGACCCAAAGAGGAAAAAGAAATGTTGGTGTTCATCTGTCTTAAAGACTTTTAATGTATTTTCTCTCCAAGACATGTAACCTCCAACGTCCCAATCTCCACTTTGAGAAACTGCTGTGTGGTTTAGATCAAAATCATATGATGAATCTTAAATACAGGCCAACTAAGGAAATAACTTTTTGTTCCAAAGCCAAGATTACCTTGTGTGTTAATGAAGGCTTGAATTCAAATTCATCATCAGAGGATGAAGTCGAATACTCACTAGCTTGTTTTCTGACAGGTAGGTGTTCACATCCTAAAATGAGGGAACAAAATACTCAGTGAAGCAAAAAATACTGTTCTTTAACTTAAACAGACACTTTGCACCTGCCCCGAGTTCTAATCAGCAGCACCTAAAGCAATTTGGAAATTCAGCTGACAGCATTAATTAAATTTTTGATCCATGTCAGAAACTGTCTGTGTATATATATATATATATTTTTTTTTTAGGTGCTACATACAAATAAATTAATTCCTTGAGCACCCTGCGTGTAGCGTGCTGTTCTAAATGCACTCAACATTCATTAAAATGTATATCTGAAGTTAGCCATATTACCCAAATGATTGTATAAGGCTCACTATACAGTGTAATTGAATGCACAAAGTCTGAGCCAGCTCTTAAACAAATTACCCTTATGTGGCTTGTAGCATCTGGCACCCATTTTTACTACATGACATCTGCTCAGTGTAAAATAGTTGGCGTCAGAATGTCTGGTCATATAAAAAAATCACAAATGTAATCAGAAGCAAATGGACTAAGAGAACAAGGCTTTATCACACAGCCTCATGCAACATAAATATTTCATTAATTATGTCTAAACAAACGTCACTTATTTTTCTGCTTTAGGAATATTATCACATCATTGGACTGTTGATTAAAATGCCATAAGAAGTCAGGAAAATCCATACATCACAACAATACACTCCATAAGGAAAACTCAAAGCCTGCCCTTGGAAGAAGCATGCTTTCAGAATTATAAATTGAATTACATTTAATTGCAGCAATTTTATCATGCCTGTTTTTCCAGCATCTTGTTTCAACTGGGTGCAAATATTTGAATTTCTTCTTAATTTGTCTAATGCATAGCTTCATTCTCTTTATTTCAGAAAATAAAACCGCTTTTGGAACATCTGTCTATGCTTCAACCTGCTACAGGGTTAATGATTAACAGCTGGGCATCTTGTAAATGTACATTATTTAAAGCTAACAGTGTTAGTTTTTTCCTTGTATCTGCTAGGTATCAGCTGGCTTTCTAGGTGCAAGTTGTATTCAGATTAGAATCATTTCCCATTTTCCCAGTGTAAAGGTTTCTTCTTTGCCTTGTTCTGGAGCAGAGTCCTGAAGACTTTTGTCTCCAGCCCTAATTTAAAATCAGGATCCAGGAAACTTATTCACCCCAGACAGTAAAGAATAAAAACAAGTCCACATAATTTGAGGCAGAAATTCTGATTTTTCTCAGCAATCTCAGTTTTAGAAGCACCCAGTCCTTGTGCTCAATGAAGCCACAAGCTCATGCTTGGCTCGATGGAGCAGACTTGGGTCTCACCATCCTTTTTGTGATTCAGGTCCTTGGGCAGCAGATGCCTGCAAGTGAAAGCAGGGAGCTGCAATAGCCCTCCAAGTGGGTCTCCAGCCTCCCAGGTGACTCTACTCTCTGCTCCAGAACTGCCCAAGTTGCCACCCCACATCTTAGAGGAGGGACACAACTCCTGCTTGCTGACCTGCCAGGGACTCTCTGACAGCTCACGATTGCTGTGGGGAGGCCAGTGCCACACACTGCCCCACGCTCTGTGGACAGGAGTGCGTACCCAGCCGCACTCCATCTCTGTCCCCAGCAGGGACAGTCAGACATAGAGCCCTTCCAAGGTGTGGGGGGGCATCTGTCCTTCTTTTAGTGAGTAAACTCTCCCATCTTGCTTTTCCCTGCGCAACAAAAAGTTTGCAGTAACTACCCTGCAGTCACACCACTGGAGAAATCAAATTCCACAGTATGCAAAGGGCAAACTTTACAGCCCAGCCGGGCTGGAAACACAAGCAATTACACGCTCCCTTTCTTCTCTCAGCTGTGCTGGGAATAAGCAACTGCTTCCCCTTGTCCTCTCCTTTGAGTGATATCAATAATTTAAAAAGCGTTACAAGGTCTGAAGGCAAAGCAGCCTGCTCTAACACAAGGGCACCTGCTTCCTCCTTGGGGGTGTGACTCCAGAACTCTCGGTCTTTCTGGGACAGGGAGAGAGTCTGTGACCTCCCCAAGGATTTCCACGGCCTGTCTCATGAGCACAAATCTGATGCTTGTGAATGGAATAGATTCACAGCCTCCACAGTCCTCCCAAAGCCTATCGGCTGTGGAGAGGCAGGTATTTGCACCTTGCTCTGCAGAGAAAAGCTATTTAGATTGCTCCAAACACCTCAGCCTCTCAAGGGACCCAGTACCCAAAACCCTGTGAGACAACAGTCACCCAGTTGTGATCAGCACCCTTGTGGTCTCTACCTGGGAATGTTACAGGATGAAGGAACACATGACCTACTCAGTGATGAGGCACCTGAAGGCTCTACCTGTGCTCATTGTCCCATTATTGCAAATACATTTCACACGCACTGATGTTCTCTGCTAATGTAACAGGGATAATTGAAGCATGAGGTGCCTGGAAACACAGAGCAAAGAGTGACAGAATTGGGATAAGAGGACAGGTTTTTGGCTCCCAGATGTGTGGCCCTGCCGCTTTTATGGATATAGAAACAATGGGAGACAGTGCATTTCTTTCAACATTAAAAGGGCAGCCACTCAGTGCTCTGCTTAACTCATTTTCTTTGGCTATTTCTTCGTGAGAGAGACCAAAACTATGCTCTGAAGTGTACCCCAGATGGAAATTTCAACTTCAAGACAACTATAGCAACCATGGTAAGAAATTGCCTCTGCTTCATGCAGAGCTGGAGAAAAATACTGCAAGTTTAAAAAAAAAAACAAAAAAACCAAAAACCACAAAACAACCAAACCCCAAATCAACCAAACAAAAAAACCCCAAACCAAAACCCCAAAATCCCCTCCAACAGAAAGGGGTGGGATAGAGAAAATTTAGCCGCCAGCTGTGAGGATTCAGACAAGGAGTTCATACATAAAAATATTCAACTTAGGAACTTTCACACTTTCTGGATCATTAAAATCTGAAACTTTGAACTGCCACAAAAATAATTTGTCTACTTCAAATATGCCAAGCCTTAAAGCTCAATAGGCTACAGAACAGATCTCCAAAACTTATGTTTTTTTCCCAAATATTAACTCAAGTCTTCTGGACTTGGGCTTTATCTTTACAGCCATCTCGTTCCTTTAGATTGAGTGTTATTTATTACATATTTCTTATTTCTTAAGTACTCTAGCATCCCCCTAACTTCCAAGTTAACATATGGAGTTTTTCCGCTCCATCTAACAAGACTTCGGACCACTGGGAGTGGCCAGTCACAGTATTAGTTTGTTCCTTTGCCCTTCAAATATAAAGGGCAAAGGAAAAATATTTCTGAAATGTATATTAATCTATTCTTGATCTTCACCTCACAATAGCTACTCGGAGTTAGGTCAAGACACTTTTCCAGCATACCTGATTTACAGATGTCAAATAACAGAAAACAGTATTAGTTATTAGTGTTATTAATTGTTAGTGAACCTGACAGAGCTACAGAATACACTTCAAAGTACGTTGGTGGAGAAAACCTCCAATTCTTGATATTGGGACGTAGTATCCTCATATGTATGTGTCAGATAAGCAAAGTTATATCCATGAAATTAAAATTCCTTCCTATGGCCAGTTTGTTACAGCTCGACAATCCAAGGGTGAGTGTCAAAGACACTTTGGCCTAAGCCTGCTGCCATGGAATGCCATCACTGAATGCCTCACTGTACGCTGAGGAGCAACTGCACCAAAGTGCAGTGCTTTGAGAACCTCTCCCTTAACATACACATCCAAGGTACTCATATTCCCAGGAAACTTGAAGGACTCTGAACAATAAGGGAGATGTCATATGAAGAGGTTAAGAAGGTGCTACCTTCTATTAGATGTGGGAGCACTGCTGATTGTCCTGGAGATTTATAGGGAAAACCACCAGTGCTGTCAGTCTGCCTGTCCCAGCTCAACCTCCCTTTCCCGGGGCGTGTTTGTGTCATGGTAATGACTGCAGCCTAAATACACAGAATTGCCTTGGAGCAGAAACTGTTTTTATAACATAAAGTTACACTAATCCTTGGCTTCCTCTGTAAGTGTCCAAGATTACATATTTTTAAAAGTCATGGGACTTAATCATGACCACTGTAAGGACTTCAGCATTTTACAGAAGAGAGGCAAAATTACACACATCTCTTGGGGCACTGATGTTCAAAACCAGAGGGAAATTGGCATGAGGAAAGAGATTAAAAGAATGGCCAGTAGAAATCAAGAGAGGGCTTGGTTATTTCACTTCACATCTCTGCTTCTCCACAGATTTCCCATGTGATTTTAGACATGTAATTTAATCTTCTAGTGCCTCAGTTCCCCTCCTAAAATACAAAATCACTGTGAAAGCAGTGTCTTTGCTGACCAGAACACTGCAAACACACAGACTTTCTGTGGTACAAAGATGCAATAATGGGAACCTGAAATATTTGCAAGCAATCCCTTTTCAATCTAAAAGTGCACAAAATCAGCCGAGTGTGTTCATGCTAAATTTTCTCATTAGCTGAATTGGCTGTCCTGCTTAATTATGTGCACCATGTACACAACACATAGTCACACACTGAGTTAGAACAACTCTCATCTCATGTAAGGGACAATTCTAGGAATGTTTTGACACGATCCCTACTTTGTCAGGGACAGAAATACTCCTCCCATGCCTCCATCTCTATCAAGAAGCAAACCTGGAGTCACACCCATCTGCTGATAAACAACCACCCTCATGGACTGGTCTTCAGAAGGCCTGTCTGTATGTTAAAAATAACCCCTGGATCCACCACTTCATCTCCCTACAAACACTGTTGACTGCAACTCTCACACAACCTGGCTTAAGTCTCTTTTTACTATTGTTCTCCTGTTGTACTAATGATTTTTAGTATCAGTAAATAATATGGCACTTTGGCATTTTTTTAATTTCAAAAGGGGAAGTAGGCTTAGGAGAGAACAGTAAACCATCTGATTCAACACTTATTGATCAGTTTTTGGGGGGGGTGTTCACTGCAGTTTGAAACACAAAGACAGAATAAAAGACAAAAGCCTCAGAGATATTTGTGCAGTAAATCAAAAAGCTGGAATTGCACTTAGGAACTCCAGTGTGGTTATTTGCACACAGTTGTATATTCTATGGGCAAACTTTCGATTTTCTTTTTTTTAAAACCAGTCTCTCAATGAAAAGTGTGCATGAATCCCCATTACTACAGTAAGGTTCGTCTAGGTCCCACAGAAGCAGCCTGTCCAGCTAGATCTCTGCATGGCCTAAAATTTCCAAGTAGCTATGAGGACTAGTTCTTATGAAACAGAGGGATAGTGTTAGGCAGAAAGCCCTAAAAGCAGGTCTGGATACCAGAAACTGGAATGACCCACATGGAAGGTGCAACTGCAGGTCTAAGTTCGAATGACAGGCTGCTAAGATCTTTGATTCTTCATGCTGAGCTTCAGCTGGGGGCTGAACACTTGGTAGGAGAGAACAGAAGGACAGAACATAGTTTTAGTTTGGACAGACACCTGGGTGTGAAATGCAGAAGTCATCAGCATAGGAAAGACATCTGGATGTGTGTTTGCAGCTGAAGTAAGACAAGGTGTAAGGAAAGACGAGCAACATCGCATAGGAGCAGATGTGTCGGGTGGGACTGAAGGTCCTTCCAATCTGTTTCCAGCACTGTATGTCTGAAGGAACGCTATAGGCATGTGATTCCTCCCCTTAACACTCGCTCAGCCTCCAAGCATTTTTCAGTTCAGGAGTGTTCAATATTGGAATATCAGTTTCTAAGTATTTAGTTACTTCTCAGAGGATTTCTCTGCAATGAGCTTGCCCAGTCTCATCTCAAGGACTTTTATCATCCAGCTCATTCTTTGGTTCCACGAGCCACTGAGGGAGAAAACACCAATGTAATGTAATACCAACCATACTTGCACAGGAACAGTTTGGCCTGAAATAGGATAGAAAAGTCACACTATAAAGAGACAAGTATGAGAAAAAGTCTCACTAAACTGCTCTCTGCAAGGTGCTGGGAATACTTTTTTCATTAAAGAAATTTTCTGTGATTTGTGGTAAATTTCAAGAGAGAAGAATAATGACATGAAATGTAGGCTAAAGCTCATCATCAGACTAAAGTTTGCCAAGCCTGGGCCTCAGACAAGTGCCAATATGAGATAGAAATGCCATTTTAGAGAGGCAAGCAGGACTTGGCTCTTCACCAGTTGATTTACTCAAATATGAATGTTTGAAAAAGTTCAGAGAGTTGCAATGCTAAAAGGTTGAAAGTGACAGATTACTAGGGAATGGCTAGATCAGAGTTTAAGTTTTGGGTTTGTGGGGGGTTTGTTCTTTTTTTTTTAATTGTTTTTTTGTTGTTTTTTTCTTTTAATCTAAGCAGACTTTTCAATGCCTATAAGCAATAATTGTAATAATTTAAGAATCCTCATTTGGCTTGCATAGCAGAGGAATGCAACTCCTCTGCTTGCATAGCAGAGGAGTGTTTTTCCAACATATTTAAAACATAAATAAAGGATAGCATTATTCATACCTAAAAAGAACTTTTCCCATTTTAGTAGGAACAGAACATACGAGTTATTGTAATACATTTAGTTAAGAGCAAGTCAGCTTGGCTTAATTGATGGGTGATGACCAGGTATAGACTCCAAAAAATCTTCCCATTAAGGGCCACAGATTTACAAGTGTGAACCAGCAACTCTCTGTGGCTTCAACCTCTGGCTCAATGAGGATGCCTGGTTTTGTGAGTTGTTAGATAAAGGATGCTCCAAAGTCCAACCCAAAAATTCAGGAATGAGAGCAGGAATTTTAATGAGTTTCAGATCAAGTCTCTTACATGCTGTCTCTCTTCCTCACAGTATGCAGCAGTTCTGAAGCAAAAGGGATGCAAAAGTGTCTGGCAGTTCAGTGAGTACATTTCAGTGACTTCACATTTTACATACAGATTTTAATGCTGCAGTTTGGGGTTACATTTGGGGGTGCAATTTAATAAAGTAAGATACAAACAGGTATGCCAATAAAATTCAATAGGTTATTCAGTTAAATAATTCAGTCTTTCTGCAGTGGGGCAGTAGAAAGATGGATCACAGAGAAAGACAGGTGGGTACAGCTCTCATGCCTCATATTTCATCCCTGAAACTGTACTGCAGCTAATTCTTTTTGAGCCTATGCTCACATTACTCAAACTGTTCTTTGCCTGACATCAATACTTCTTGGACTTGCCTGCAATTTTAATACTAACCTTTTTCTTGCTAGCAAACATGAAAATTGATGCCTTTTAATCACTGTCTAGTTAGGATCTCAAATAGGTCAGGGTGGGTCAATAAGGTGCTTATTACATTATATTTATTAAGTCTTATGTAGAAAATAACTACATATTAAACATAACATACAATAGATATGTGTTTGCATGATCACGTACAGCTCTTTTCAAGGTTAAGTGCTATTACACAATACTAATACTACTACTACTACTAATAATAATAGCAACAGCAAAATTATGCCACCTTACCTGTGGAACGATAGCACAAGCTGTTGTCTGGAGAATGGTCCTTTGGGACAAGCAGAGATGACATCAAGGAATTCCCTTCTCTTTCATGACCTTTACTTCTCAGTCTACTGAAGAGCAATCCAAGACTACCCTTTTGTACAGAGTCATCCAGATTGTCCTTGGAGGTGTTCTTGGGCTTTGGAGATGAACGATGAGTGGACTGTTCCTTACAGATACACATGTCATCCATGGGAGTCTCTGGAGGAGTGTCCTTAAAGCTAAACTTTTCTAAGAGTCCCGGGACATCCTCCATCCTAGTGCAAGATGATTTCTGAGGTAGACTGGTTGTGTTGGGAGGCCTGGTGTGAGGACTGTAGGACGTGAGGGATACCTGTTCACTATAATCCCTTAGAGATATCTCTTTGGAGCTGACAGAAAAATTACGTGGATTTGAGAAAGGGCTTCCATCTCCTAAATATTCTCCTTCCCACTCCCCTACTTTAAGATCCTGTGTCTGAGTGTTATTGTTGTTAGTGTTCCTTTGGCTTAGGGAATTACCAGGAGCGCTGGGGAAGCTGAAGAAAGCTTGTTCCGAAGAGGCTTTGACTTTTCTCTCTGAGTCCTGCTTTAGTCCTCCTGGAGTCGAGGTTAGAGGCTCCAAAATAGACCTTTTGATAGCATTGGCTATGATCCTCAGTGGTGATTTTGGCTGGCCAGCTGTGTGCTCCCTGGAAACTGCATCCAGACTCCTCAGACCATCTTTTGTGTCAACTGGCAAAGCTGGCGGAGCATCACCTGCAATTACAAGAGGCACAGGACAACCAGATCGTTTGAATGCATCTCTTCTGCAGTCATCATCCTTCTCTGTAGTCCACAGGGCTTCACTGTTTCGATACCCTGCCCTGGTTCCACCTAAGTCTGTCCTGTTTGAGTCATACAAGGGTTGCTGTTGAGTACAAAGCCCCAGCCTCTTTTTTGCCTCCTTTAATTCTTGCTCGAGCTTTTCTTCTGTGTGCCTGGTATTTTTGCCATCTCTCCCTTTCAAATCCAGAGATGACAGCTCTTTTGTCTTCTTATTAAAGTCTTCTGGTTCAGAGATGTATTTCCACGTTTTTTCCTTCCAGTCCTGGGCTGAGTATGTCCCAGAGTCACTATCTGTATCTTCAGGCTCATAAAAATCAACAACTAGTTTCCCATTTCCAGGAGAGGTCCTTGGAGAACCTGTGGTGCTGCTCTGAAAAGAACAATGAGGGACATAGCAATATGTGTCTTCAGGCATCTCTCTGGCTTTTTCTTTTCTTTGAAATACTTGGCTGTAGGGTTTCAAATGTCCTTTTGTAGTTTCTGGTGGCCTATTGTAAGAAATCGACTGTGATGTGCATGAAAAAAAAAGATTATTTTAGTGACAGAAAAATACTGCCTTGTGTATCTTATTTCATATAATATTTTAATCCATTTTAATCTTAACATAATAATAATACACATAATACTTAATTTATATACACAAACTTATGTAGATGATAATAAATTAAGAAAAGCTTTTCTCCCTAAAAGGCTAATATTTCTCTAGGAGTGGAGATCTAATATTACTGGAAATTTTAACAGTCTAAAAATAATGTTATTCATGCTAAGAATCTGTCATATCTTTATGAATTACCTTTAATATTTTTCTTAGAAAGAAACAATCCTATCTCCAGGAAAATAGACAAGAGCAGACCTGCTCTATTCTCCTGTGTATGTTCCAGTTGCATCACCTTAGAGTTTTGAGCAAGCACAAGAGACCATCATCCATCCTCTCCAAATGCTTTTATAATACTGCATGCTTATGTAGCAGAGGTAGAAATTAAAGAAGTGACCCAGAAAAGACTATAAAAATGCAGGATGGTAGTTTTAAACAATTCAGATAGTTCTCTCTCATGGTTATTTTTCCTTTGGCAATGGTTTAAATTCATTACTCCAGCCACCAAAATCTTCTGCTGAAGATCGTAACAAGGATAAATACCCACATTATCTAGTAAGCAGACCAAAACTTGAGTTTGTTCTTCCTTTTAAAAGGGAGGCATTTTATCATCAGTGCTATGTGATAATGGATGGTATGAAGATTCAATTCCTGTTTCCATTTATGTGCCAGATTCCCAAATTCACATGGGTGAAGCCATTAATCTGTCTGACTTTTCATTTCCCAGAAGCATCAGAACTAAAGCAGTAATGATTCCTCTCCATTTCACAGTTGTATTTGATGACTAAAATTATTACTGGCCAGGATCTCTGAGAGAAAAATGTAAGAAACACCAATAAACAAATGAACACCCTCTTAGTCCTTACTTTTTGAAGTAAGAAAAAGGTCACTAAGCATTGCTTGTAGAACAGGAGCGGCACGGAGTCACCTCTCCTTGTGCATCATTGTGCAGCTCTGCTCCCCTGGGACATTCCCTTCCTGACCCCATTGTCCTGTACCGGATTTCAACTACCACCATGGATGTGGAAGAGTTGATTTTTTTTCTAACACAGGTCCTGAGGTCAAGAAATATTAATCATGGTTAACCCAAGAGTGAGGGCAAATGGCTGGGCCACAGCGGATGTGGGCTGGCCCCTGCTCCACCTGGCTCCGAGTCCAGGGACATGCTGCCCTTTGCTCAGGATGATCGGTCATGACTCCTGCTGCAGTGCTGCACTTAGGGCAGGTCCACCCTTCCTCAGCCTTAAAAAAAAAATAATTAAAACCCCTAAAATACAATGGAAGAAGGAAGCAGAAGATACTCCTGAGTACTGGGAGGTGTGGAGCACAGGACCTGTTGCAAGTCTAGAAATCTTCTGCCCATTGGAGGTAAGGGGAAAATATTAGACATGTGACGCCTACATCTAAAGGCTTTAACAGCAGAAATCCCCTGTCTCCACCAGGTCTCCTTTATTCCAGGCTATACACCCCCAGCTCCTTCAGCTGTTCCTTGTTAGTCTTACGCTCCAGAACCTTCACCAGCTCTGTTGCTCTTCTCTGGACATGCTCCAGCACCAAAATGTCTTTGTGTTCTCCACAACTACCCAAAAGGAGGTTGTAGTGAGGTGAGGGATGGTGTCTACTCCCATGTAAGAAGTGACAGGATGAGAGGAAACAGTCTCAAGCTGTGCCAAGACAGGTTTAGACTGTATATTTGGAAAACTTTCTTCACTGAAATGGTCATGAAGCACTGGAACAGGCTGCCCAGGGAAGCAGTATAGTCATCATCCTTGGAGGTATTTAGAAGACACATAGATGTGGCACTTGGGAATATGGTTTAGTGGTGGACCTGGCAGTGCTGGGTTAATGGTTGAATACAACAATCTTAGAGGTCTTTGCCAACCTAAACTACTCTATGATTTCATGATTGATGCCACAGATTAGTGCCTAACTCTTCATGGAATCTATGTCTGAATCCCACAGCAAGCATGACTTAGATGCTTGATTTGGGAATAATTATATCAAATTAGAGCAAGTCCTCCTCACTGTGTATAGCACAAGCATAACTCCAACTTCAGTGGTTACTGTGAGAACCAAAACTATTTGAAAGGGCAGAGGATGCCCAGACAGCCTGCCAAGAGCAGACGTGCCCCAACAGTAGTTACATTCTGCTCTGCACAATTCTCCTTCATACCTGTGTTTGGGAATGACCCTCTCCAGGACCGCTCTGACAGCTGCCTGAGCTGTCCTTCCAGTGTAGCCCAGGTTTCTTGCTGGACAGCAGAGGAAAGCCTGTCAAAGACACAAATTTAACTGTCACATTGCTATTGATTTTGTCTTAAATAAAGTTTGCAATTAAAGAATGAGAGTAGAAAATTAAACGTTCACCTGGACACAGCTGTACCTGAAGAACTGACCTACAATATTGAAGTTTATGGCCTCACTCTACGTGTGGATGCTGTGCCAAACACATGTTGATATTTTCAGCAGTGTACTTGAACTGCTTCCACTTTTTGGCTGGATGTGGTAAAGCAGCTTTTGAGTTCCAGGAAACTCTCTGGAAAACCAGCCCCCTTTAGAGGGTTTTCAGGCCTCAGAAGGAGAGGCAGTCAAAACAACCTGTGACTTTTGAACTCTGGGTAGTTCTGAGAAATGAAGAACCTCTGAGAGGGCTGTTCATTGGAACGGGAAAGAGAAAAATGGGAAACACATCCATCTGCAGGTAGAAAGTACAGAAATAATCCCAAACGGTCTCCCAAGCCAGGACAACAGGCGGCATGCGGGGGCTCTCCTAGGATCAGGCAAGGTAACTAATTACTAAAGGCCTTGAACCAAAACTAGTACAGACATACACAGACCTGCTGAAAGAAAAAGTAGGTGCAACTTGCACCTGAAGGGAGTCAGGAGAACTTTCCAATATTTGTGCCTGTGGGAATTTTACACAATAAATAATCTTTGGACAAATGGAAGTGTCCCTGAGCCAAGATATTACCATGTCAAGCTATAACATGACAAGTATATTTATAAGTGAATTATTAACTGCCAAACCCAACTATTAGTTCTGAAATCCATGCAGGTTCCCAAAGTAAACTCTGGTTCTTCTACACAGGGACTAAAAACTGAATAAGGACAAAAACAACACTCAAGGGAGAGAGGAGAGTTCCTGCATGTGAACTTCGGCAAAGACAAGCCAGGGAGAGAGGCCAAGTTTCCTTTCCTCTCAGTGTCTCACCTATTTGTACCCAATCTTGATGCAATTGGTTATGTTCAATCAAGATTGGAGGGAAACAATGCGCTGGAGTTCGTTAAGGAACTCCTGCAGGGACAGCAGCCAGGGGCTGACCTTTACATTCTGTAAAGTGAACTGAGCCACAGGAAAACATGAGAATCCAGAATTAGGATAAAAAAATACCACTACCACCACCTGCATAAGTGAGCCAGGGGGGTTTAGCCTGATCTGCTAAAGCTCTGAGCCTCCTGACATGAGCAAATGTCACGGTTCAGCACACGGAGGGGAAATACAGCCACAGCTCCCATGAGGACATAAAACCCCCAGCCCAGGGCTCTGCAGGGTAAAGGCACAAGCCCACAGGGAGAACTGCTTCCCACTCCAGCTCTCGTGGGTGTGCATTAGCTCAGAAGGACGGGGCCTGCACACGCGAGATCATTGCTCCACACACAGCCACAGCTCGCTGCCTGTCACAGGGATAATGGTTTTATTCCCATCAACACCCTGAATCGATATTTTCAGCTTCACTTTTAAAACAGGATTTAAAAAAAAAAAGTTCCCTAGGGCACTATCATGATCTGCTTGGCCCAAAATCCCAAGATAAATTAAGAGCACAGTGTTCCCTGTGGCTGGGCGATGGGGATTAAAGGTTTTGAAAGGTAATATCCTGCTCTGAGCCTTTCAGCCAATATAGCTGTGACACTGATTTCCTTTCCTTGGCCGTGTACCCTGTGCTGTTTATGAAACATATGTGTTTTGGGAAATATGTCTGAAAAGGAGACAGATTTTTTTTCATGTGACTGATGATCATATAAATTCCTGTAATCAAATTGGATTAAATATAGAAACTATGACTTAGTGTTCCTCCAGAGACTAAAAATTGCCTTTATTCTGTTCCCACTGAATGCTGACTGTGCTTTACACCTCATTTTAACAGCCTACTTGAGGTTCAGACAGATTCATGCAGCACACCACTTTTCTCTCAAAGGCTTCTAGCTCCCTCTAGAGCCCTTGAGGCAGACGGTAGATTTTAAACAAAACGATGGGAAAATTAATTGGCAAACCATTAAGTAATATACTTGCTGTGAATAAGCTGAAAATGAGTTAAAATTAGGAGGGATGCCCTCCTTCACCCCCAATATTCTCTTCTTTCCTCTCTGTCTTTCTTACCCCCACCTCAAATCTGGAATAAGCGTAATTTTTGATTGAGCTTTTAACAACTGAGATCAATTAAGGCAAGATTTTTAACCCAATCCTTTGGTGCAGCCAAACTCTGGTGCATATGCCAATCCCCAAATGCTCAGAGGTGGAGTCAAGGCTGACATAGATGCCATGAGACTTGGAGAACAATCTTCTCCACCTTCCCATCTTAGGCATGGGAGAGCCTTCCCCTGGGTGACACACCCCCTGCAGCCTCTCAGAGCATGGCAAGGCCTCATGCTTTGGAAGTGCAGCGAATTCCAGGGAACACAGCCCCATTGTACCTGTCTGCTTGTCCGTCTGCCACAACTGCTTCTCTGGGGACAGACCAGGGGGAGGGGAGGGTTTGCTGAAGCTGAGCTTAGTGGGAGCCTTCTCTCAGGACTATGAAATAGCTCTGTAGATACTCTGAGATTTGCTGAGTTATCCCAGACTTGTGGCATCAGGGCCTCCAAGGGACTGTGGGTGGGTAGTGACACTGCTCATGTGTATAGTGGACACCAGGCTTGGAGGCAAGCCTGGTGCCAGGAAGGAGAGATGCAGCTTATCTTCTGAGATCTAAAAATTCATCCCACAGTGGGCACCTGCAAATGATTTTGAAGCTTTCTTGGGCACTCAAAGCAAGCAGGCCAAAACGCCTCTGCTTGATCACTGGTCCTCTAATGGGTACAGGGGTCCTACTTGTTTCAGAAGCTGAAACATAACTTCTCTGAGGGTAACTGGGACTCCAAGTGGCAGGAGAAATCCCCCTTGTTGCAGAGGGCAGTTTAGGGCAGGGTAAAGAGCAGCTGTCACCAGCATTCCTCAAAACCCACCGTCTCCATATCTAGAAAGTGTGGCACTTGGTCACATGCACAAAGCCCTTCTTTCTGCTGCTGTACATTCATGTTTCACACCTAGGACTGTCAACCCCCCAGTCTGCCAGATACAACTGCATTTCTAACAAAGCTTTGAGAGGGTTTGGGCTGTTGGTAAGCTCACCCAACCCCAATACTAGTGAGGTCAATCCTGGCAGGTACCTGCCAATCCTCAATGGGATCCTGGGAGGAAAGTGTGTGCACTTGCCAAGGGGCTGTGCCAAGGAGGGTGGGCAACATGGTTCCAAGCAGCAAGGATGTGACTAAGTGTGGCTGGCTTGTCTGGGGACTCCAGCCCAAGAGAAAGGTTACCTAGATGCAGCCTCAGCTGTGAGGATGACCACAGTGCTTCAGAAGTGAGCAGAGAACAGAGCTGGTTGGTCTCTACCAAAGTCACTACATTCCTGTGTGATTCCCATGGGCAAAGACAGGTCAGCCCAAAACAAGGGACACTGCTGGAGGACAAGAACTAATAATACCTATTTTCACTAGCTCACCTCTTGGGACAGTGTTGGCTTTCTTCCTTTCAGCAACCCAGAAATACTACCTGTTTTTTTACCAACAGAAAAGAGGTGACAGAGCACCTGTGGAAGGATGCAAAGAGGCACCTCCAGCAGCATTTCTAATCAGTGACATGATGTTAGACTCCGTGTTGCACCCAGTCAAAAGCAAGTGGCGCAGGCAGGGCTAGACACAAAATATGCAGCTCTGGCACAGGAGCACATGCTCTCTTCTGGAGAATTAAAGAGGACACCGCTTGCTGATGGATGTAATTACATAGAGAACAGTCACACAGAAGGGGAATTTGATCTTTCAAAGATAAGAATATGGAAAAGAAATATTTGATGTGTTTTAGATCTCTGTTTTCTCATCTAGTGACTCAAAAATACAAAACTTCTAAAGGAAAGAAGGGGAAGCAGACAATTAAGAGACAGAAAAATCGAAAACAGCACGAATAAAAAAATACAATCACCTCTCAGGCTTTACTCACTTGTTTGGAGTTTTCTCCTCCAATTCTGACACTTATTTAACGCTGTGGAGTGAAAGCTGTTGGCTCTCTGGAGTGCTGAACAAAAACAGAAAGGACACAGATTCAGCTAATGCAGCAGAAGTCGAAGACCGAAAATGGAGATGTTCAAAAATAAAAGTAGAGGGGAAAAACCCCTCAAACCTCCGGCAGTTGGGGTCAGTTTTCCAAGCAGCCTCCAGCGGCCCCGGCCCCGCGGCGCGGCCGGGAGAGGGCAGCGCGTGCACGCCGCGGGATGCCGGGAGCAACTCCTGGTGGGAGAGCCCAGGAACCTTCTCACTTATCCCCAAACCGACACCGGCTCTTTTCTCGGAGCAGCCGACACGAGCAGAAGGACGGACAGACAGACAGACAGACGGGCGAAGGGGCAGACTGAACGCGGGGGGGGAAAATGCGCTAATGCAGCTGGGTGAGGATGCAGAGCCAAAACAGGCTGCTCAGGAAGATCTGGATAACCCGGCTGGCATGGTGGGGGGAGGAAAGTGATGGTGGTAGGAACATGACCTTAGCAGCCAGGGGTGGGGGACAACATGAAACTGGGGAAAAAAAAGGATAAAATCCTTCAGTGACTGCATGGGTCACATGTGCTGGGAACTCTTCGGGGTCTGCTGCTGTCCTTTTGCCCTAAACAAGGGCCTCATTATCCAAGAGTCAATTCAAATTGCTGTATGAAACCCCCTCTTTTCTGTTTGGATTAAAGATGCATATGTGGATGTGGGGCGGGGTGGGGGAGAGATAAGAAGAAATGAATGCTGATGGTCTTTTATTTTCTCCAAAACAATTTCTTTGTCTGTTATAGCACATCTTTTAGTTCTGACTAGCTTCAGAAATGAGTATTCATTTGGAGGCAGATTGTTCCTAAGCCTTTCCATACCCCCCTGCTGGCTATATCATTTCCTCATTGTGCTTTCACTGGATAAAAAGATTTTAAGCAGATACTGGCAGAAACACAAATTGCACAAAGCAGAGCTCTCTAGTGCTTCCCAACACAACCTTTGCCTAGGCAATGCTGCAGATATTGCATTGACTACTAAGAATATCCAAAGTTTTTGCCTGTGGGAAAACAGTCATCCCACCCCACAAGCTAAATATAAAGCACAACTACTCCAGGTTACCCTGCATCACAGAAATGGCGTTTCAGTTACAGCACCAGAAAGGCAGAAACATCCCAAACAAAGACACGACTAACAGGTACAACCTGTCACAGTGGGAACTAACACTACAGGGAACATCCTCTGCTTTGAAACCTCTCCCCCAACCCTGCTTGCAGCCCTCAGGATGCATCAGGAGCCTCAGGTCAGGATGCTGCTTACCATCAGCAACTTTGGATGTTTTGGAGCTTTCCTCTGGCACCACAGGGCTGCTGATGAGCGATGCCCACCTCTGGATGGGGCTCGAGCAGGCGGGGGGCTCCAGCAGCGTGGTCTGTCCTTCGCTCACTTCAGAGTTAGATGAGTCACCATTAAAATCAGACTCCAGCTCAGAGCTACCAAGAAAAAGGGCAAGATAGAAAGAAAGTGGGACATTTCAGGAGGTATATGGCACAGAGTTATTTCCCTTCAGTGCAACAAGCACTGGCTTCAGCACTGACAGAAGTGTGGGTGTCTCAGTGAAATAGGTGTTTGGCAGCCAGACCCAATGTCCTCGTTTTCCCCATTTTCATCATCCTTATCACAGGACTGTAATTTGCTGTAGGTGCTATACAGCTGAGCTATCCCTTTTCCCACCAGACTTTGCATTTGCACAGACAACCAGCACCTGGAGTCAAAGTGCCACTGAGAGACTTGGGGTGAAACACCGCACTGCTCGTTTAGCAGGGATAGGCCCTTCTGCCTGCAAGGCTGTACACCAAGATGAAGTAAGGGAAACAGCAATGCCATAACTGGCCTGGAAACAAGGCATGAGGGTCCAAACTCTACACTTTTCACATCTTTTGCACAGATTTTTGGAAATAAGAGGAGCCAGTGAAGAAGGAGCCAGGAGGAGAGGCGTGAGGACAGCTGTGGGCCCAGCAAACAAGGCTTAGTCAAGAAGTTGGAGACAGTTGTAAGCATTAGTCTAGAGGGAGGACTGAGTGAAGCTGCATGAGCAGCCTTCAAACATGCAAAAGGTGTCTATAAGAAATAAAGAAATGAGGAGACTTTTCTCCTCGTTCCTTGAAGCCACTGGGTCAGCCCATGTAACAACAACCTCAGGGAGGCACCTGAGCCAATAACAGAGGCAGATTATGGTATCCCTTGTTTAAATGTAATTAAAACTATGCCACACAAAAAACGTATGTGAATGATACACACATCATGGCCTTGCCTCATGGTGGAATGACAGTTTAAGGTGATTATTAGCCCGTTCTCCAACAATCATGCCATTTCTTTCATCTCTGAAGTCCACACTGTAGGGAACAGACACCATCAGCCCTTCTGATGTGACCACATTCCCACCACCAGCATGATCCAACTCAGCTGATTTTTTAATGCAAACAATACTGCTAACCTAATTCATAGATTTACTGTAATGATTAATAGCTCTGCCTTAAAAAAAAGAGGAACTCACACCATAAGCAGCCCTGTTGGTATAGCAGGAAAACACTGCTTTGTGTTTATATAGCACTGCTTGCACAGCTCAGGGGGAAGAGGAGGTAAAGGACACGCTGCAGACCAAGGACAGGCTGCAGACAATGCCAGGCTAAAAGCCTGGTAGCACTCACCATCCCTGCACCCTGGCTTTGCCCAGATCAAACCAACAGTACTGGGAGGCCAGGGTGGGCAAGACAGCAGGGACTGGGAACATTGCACCAGGTGTGCAGCTCTCAGCAGGCTGAATCAGAGTGGCCTTATATTTCACCACTAAAACATACTTTTTAGGGTGACTTTCAAGAAGTGCCAAACACATATATGTACATATAAAAATATAAATATATGAAGACTTTGATAGCTGCGTCCCTGTGTGGATGGTGCAATACCACACTGAGATCAGGCAGAGCGCCACACCAAAGAAAAAGCCCTGCCATCAACATTGATTGATATCTTTCTGTTTTAAAGAGCAAAAGGTTTATTTTCCTTGGCCAATAAGGAGGTAATGCTATAGCATGAAGCTTCTCCTCTGATCTCTGCTTGGTAGGTAGTTATTATTCACAGTACCTAAAGCCCTGAACTGCAAAGCTGTGTCACCGAGCTGGTCGTTTTCCCAGTCCCACTGAGCTCCCCCCGGACAGCTCAGCAGTGCCATTTGTCACTTTCTATTTCTCCTGTCCCCCGTTTTTGGGCAGGGGCTGGTTTGCCAGAGCAGTACAAGGGGAAGGGCACAGCAGGAGCCCGACCTCAGAGCCACTGGCACTCGCTGCGCTGGTGACAGATGTGGCGTCGCTCCCCGTGCCACGTCCTGCTGGCAGAGAACCAGGGGCCTTGTCGTCCAGCCGCGGGGGTTGCCGCAGGGAAAGGAGCTGATCCCTCAGATCAGAAGGATTAGCCGGCTCTCATCACTGCCCGGGCGCCACTGCGAGCAGGAGGGTATTAGCGAGGGATACAAGCACATGCTCAGCGGGGCAGGGGGAGGGGGGGTGTCAAAGAGGTAGTAAACCATTCCCTGTGTTCTCCATTTCCTCACAGTAGAGGAGCCCTTGATAGGTGCATCCTTCCCTGTAAGAGCACCTAGATCCATGTGCAGAGCACAAACCACTGCAGGGAATAGCAGAAATTTGCATTTCTCAGAGCATTGCTCTCCACAAGCTATACAGCACCACAAACAGGTGTTAGAAACTGAATGAGCTTCCCTACAGAGCAATAGTTTGCATCAGTTGGCTTAGGTTTTGCCTTTTTTCGCTTTTCCTTCCCCCCCTTTTTTTTTTTTTAGTTCTTAGTAAGGAAAACTGCTTTACTCAGCAGATATCCACCTAATCTTTAGGCAGAATGAAATCCCACAGAATCCTGCCCAGAGAGTCAATAAATTCTAATGCATGCAGAAATTGTGCTTCCTCTGACAGCTCCTCAAGGATCATCCAATTTCTTAGCGGTGGGCAGGCTCTCAAACATCCCAGAAGAGACCCAGGGTGTGGAGCTGCAGGATGGTACCCAAGGCGGGAGGTGGCCACGTCAACAGGATGCACCTTTTGCCACAACACACCCACTTGCTTAATCCTGGTGTCCCAAAAAATGTCTGTTCCAGAAGCTGAACCCAGGCTGATCAAGACAATGTTTTTCCCTCTGATTCAGGCCCCTGTGTGGGATGTGAATGTTTAAAGATTTCCTGCAAAGTGAGTCATGTGCCTGGGGGGATTTATGGCTGTGGTTAAGAACAATTGTTAGTCTGAGCGGTTTGTCTTTTTCTTCCTCCTCCCCCCGCCCAGTTCTACATACACACAGTACTATATTTTGTTATATTTTTCTTTAGCAATCCAGGGGAAAATCAAACTGGGTTTTCTATAGGTTTTTTTATAGGCTTACTCATATTTTCAAGTACCTGCTTGTATCACTGGTGACCATGACTCGGATGGCAAGAAAGTTATGCTCAGTCATCTCCTCCTCGGGAATGATCCTTATGGCAGAACACTTGGTGGAAGGAGGTGAGAACCAGCTCTCCAAGTCACAGCGCCCGGGGATGCTCTTCGCCTTCTTGGGGGAGGTGGGTGCATCAGCCAAGGGCAAGCAGAAGCCTGGCAAAGCACAAAGGTGATAGCAAAGCGTTAGGGGAGGAGGGAACCACAGGGGAACTTCACTTCTGCCATCCAGTGGTCTTGGCCATCGCTGGTGGTTTCTGTGTGGGGCCCTGTGCTGCCCCCAGAGGTGTGCATGGACAGCCTGGCATAGCAAAAACATCCCAATACAGCCCTATTGGGCTTCCTCAGCTTGGATTCAGAGAGAAGGAAACTTCAGGGGCAGCCTCAGCTTGCGCAGCTACGGGTCCTTGTGCTTCTCAGTGGGATGGCCATCAGGCTGGGTGCCTGCTGGCAGCACTAAGACACGTGCCTGCCACACAACTAGGGATTCATGGGCTTTTTTCTGGACACCTTCGTAGCTGTGCTTGTGGCAGAAGGCAGTTGAACCAACCTTGCCAAACCTTCAGCCTCACACTACAAGTGTAGGTTAACTTAGGACAGTGGGAGTGAACAAAATAAACAGACTCTTCAGGTTATTTTTGATTGTGTACAGCAAATATGGACACTGATTTGGAAAAAGCAGCAGCATCCCAGCAGTTAAACAGCACCATCCCTGAACTCTGCATTCAGGCAAGATGAATAGAGAGTAAAGTCAAGTTTCCCTTGCAATTCCTTGAGCAACCTCATCTATCTACAGTCTGCTGCCCAAGGAAATATAAACATATCAGCTGCACAAGTTCCCCTGGAGCTCAGTGCAGAAGGAACAAGTGACAAGCTCTGGGAGAGTGGTTCTGCTTTGTTCACCTCCTGTGTGTGGTGCTTTCACCACATCTAATTCAACATTGGTTGAATTAGAATTAGAACTAATTTACACCTGTATAAGTGGAAAAAACATCAGACCTTGGACATGGCTCATTTTCTCATCTATTAGAGCAAACTATTTAGTAAACATCAGTTAAACTCCTATTTAACTTGCTGCTCCTTTATTTATTTCAGGAGTGCACTCACCCCATCCTTGCAAGGGTTTTTACCTTGAACACCAAGTGCTTGCAGGAGTTCAAAGTGGAAAACAAACCCACTGGGAGCAAGAGTGCTACAAGTAAATCCCAAACACATGGGAAAAAATGGAAGAAATTCATACCTCCCTGATTTTTATGTCTGACTTCTACTTTGGCCCACCAAGGCCACCCACCCAAAGATGATGTGGGCAGTGCACAGCAAGCCTGGCAGTGTTTGGGCAACTCATGGAAGCCCACAGGATGGCAGGGCATGGCTGCCCTTCCTCACAGGAAGGCATGAAACATGAGCTGGGCTGGACCACGAGGTGCCATTTCTACTTGCCAGAAGCCAAGTAGAAACTGGTTTTGTGATCCAATTTGTAAACCCCAAATCCTTCAACTCTCTCCTTAAAAGTTGGTGCATTTTATATGACAATCAGAGCAAACAAAACCAAATAATAGTTTTCCAGTTCTGTCTATAAACTTTGTACCCATGCTGGCAGTAAGCACTGCCTGAGGCCACTGCAAGCAGCTGTCAAAGAAAGTCAGTTTTGCCATTTGCTTGCAGGCTCAGTATGTGTTCCCTTCCCCCCCCCCATGCATTAATGCTCTCCCTGCCACGCTAACAGGAAAGAGGAGAAAACATGTTTATGACTAACAGACACACAGCTGGAGACCATCAAAACCCACAGACAGACAGACTACCTACAATGATTCCCAGCGTGGTTCCTGAACATGAACAGATTTCCAGTCAACAAGTCCCTCTTCAATAGCTTACTACACATCCAGTTTTCAGTCATTAGGGACCTGTAATAGTCAGAGCTGGTGAAGGACCTCAGGATGTCACCCAGGACACCAGATGACAGGGATGGATGTAACTCTCTGAAGAGTTACATTTCTGTGCTTGCTTTTTTCCTATTGTTGTGGGTTTGGGGTTTTTTCCCCCCTTCCTTTTTGGCATCATCATCTCTCCCCTTGAATTCTGCACCCAGAAGCTGACCCTCTCAGGAATTTGTTAGACAGCAGAGTCCTTTCTGAGCAAGATAAGTTTACATGCACAGTGATACTAACCATGTTTAAGATCAGCATCCTGCACGGGCATCCCTGCCCATACCAGGGGGGTTGGAATAGTCCTCTATAGGTCACTTCCAACCCAAACCACTGTAGGATTACAAAGCAAACCCACTCCTTACTAACATATTTTATCCATATTTGTACTGTGACATATAAATTTGAATAAATTATGTTATACTCAATTCCACAAAAGCAGAGACTGGACCATTTTGGTATTTCAGTGCGTGGGACGCCCACATGTGCACTAACTCCAACACTGGGTCAGACATTCTGCAGGCCTTTTGATAAGATTAAGTTAGTACTGCTGTCCCTCATCACAGGACTGCACCTTGGGCAACAGGCTCGAACAGAAGGCAAAGGTATCCCAGAGGCCCAAGGGTCAGAGTTTCTTTGTAGGCTCTGATGATGTTAAGTCTCTCCTACTGCAGCACTGAGCTGACCCCCAGCCCTGTAGGCAGGTGCTGGTGGTTACACCCAGCCTGGAGGAGAGTTTTCCATCCCTAAGGATAAAATGGGTATGGACCAAGTGCAGGCAGCAGGGACTTGCTGCTGCTGGACTCATGTAAACAGCACAGGAGAAGAGTGTGGCCAATTCAAACAAAAGCCTGGAGCTCTGCAGGCCTGGATCCCAACTGGTAATCATTACCTGCCCCTCCACAGCAATGTAAACACATCCAGTCAGCCACCTCTGCGACTCTGCCGCGGGCCAGTGCTGCCACTAATGTTTAACGAGTATCAAGAAGGAGAAATATGTCCTGATATAAACAAGGGGTTCAAAAAGAAAGCCAGGACTTCTTTAAAGCTCTCATTTTGCACAGCTAGGTAAGAAGGGCTACCTGAACTAATTTCTCCTGAATCAGCCCAAAAGTTGAGAACTTACACAAAGGTGAGGTGCACATTTATGCTCCTGAACAGATGCTAGGCTTTCCATTCCAGCCTCACAGCTCTCCCTGGATCCTGAACAGCCACCCATCCTTGCAGCACCAGCCCGGTCCTCAGTGAGACATCTGCACAGCAAGGCTGTGTGGGAAGATGCTGATTTTCTGGAAATCTGACTCCAGGGCAGAAACCAGGCTCTAAACATCAGTGCCCTCATTCTCATCACACTGCAGGTGGAGAGTTAAGGACCTCAGACTGCTAGTGTTTGAGTCCTTTCACAAGTCTATGCCTGGCTGTATTTCCCACGTCAACCCGCTTCTTCACCAGAAGACACAGAATGGCAGTACTGCTATTCCCAAAGGGAAAGGGGCATATGGGTGGATGAAGCCACTCATCTGGGATTTTCCAGTCAACCCATGATGCTGCAGGCACCTCCATGGCAAGTCAGAGCTCTCACCCACATCAGGGTCCACAGAATCACTGAGTGGGTAAGGTTGGAAAGGACCACAGGGGGTTCAGTGGTCTAAATCCCTGCTCAAACAGGGTCATCCCAGAGCACGTGGCACAGGATTGAGTCCAGACAGTTCTTGAATATCTCCAGTGAGGTAGACTCCACAAGCTCTCTGGGCAATCCGTTCCTGTGAGCAGTCATCCACACAGGAAAGAAGTTCTTACTCATGTTCAGGTGGAACTTCCTGTACAAGAGTTTCTGCCTGTTGCCTCTTGTCCTGTTGCTTGGCACCGTTGAGAGGAGCCTGGCTCCATCCTGTGACACCCTCCCTCCAGATACTGACAGACACTGATGAGTTCCCCTCTCAGTCCTCTCTTCTCAAGGCTGAACAGGCCCAACTCTCTCAGCCTGTCCTTGTAAGAGAGATGCTCCAGTGCCTTACTCACTTCCTACCCAGGACAGGAGATTTTCTATTAGAAACTAAGAGACTGAGTCAGAGGAATTGGACTTTATAAATGTAAAAGCTAAAAAGGCATCCTGTCTGTAGGATGGAAAAGGGCACAGCCCTGTTTCCTGCCTATGCAAACTGGTGCCGTGCCACTGACCTCTGCATGGCAGCACCAGACATTATCAGAGGAAACCCCAGTCCTCAGGAAACAGTCACTCAAAATAGCATTTGTGTAAGATCTTACTTCATTTCCACCTTGCTCACTTCAGATATCCTATTCTCTATGCCTCAGCACGCTAAAGACCTCCATCAGGAAATTGCCTGCTCAGTTTGGACTGGAGTCCCTACTAGTCCTTTACCAAAACATTCAAATAATTTGCCCTGGAAAGGGGAGGGGTGTGGGGAGAGCGTGGACAAGCCATGCACAGGAAGGTGTTAACCTTGTGTCACAGTCAGACCAAGTCTGTCACACGAGTTTGGCTGCAGGAAGGCAGCCCACACCACCAGCCAGTTAAAGTGGGAATGTCCTGACAACAACTCATTCATGTTTTTCTAGGTGCTGAAGTTTCCCAAGGCAGTCAACGTGAGCAAGCTGAGGAGCTAACATGGTCATTTCCAAATCCTCCGTGTCCTTTGGCGCTGTCCTGTGCAGGGGTGAGGGAAGGGAGTGGGCAGGGCAGCCCTCCTGCTGTGCTTGGGCAGGAGCTGCAGGGCTTCTGCAGCTGGTGCAACCCAGGGTGTTTGTGCTGTTTTATGGTCTACACTACTGCAACTTGCTGTCTGACGGGCTGGTGGGATTGAGGGAATTTAAATTTTCTGTTCCTTAAGCTGCTCTTAACTTCTTCCCTACTCTGCTGTCATCCACATACGATGATCCTTCTCAACCGTAACGCTGCCCCAGTGCCGTGTTTTGGCCACAGCATTGCCTGTTTAATTAATTTCACGATTCTCCTCTCTCAATCCCAAGCACACTGTGCTTTGTTGAATTGATCCCCCACCTCCTGGTTGCCCTTTCCCAGCAGCCCATCTCAGGGTGATGTCCCTACTACCACCTGCAGTGGTAGTCAGCAGGATCCTGGGTGCTCCCTTCCCTTCCCTCCTCTTCCAGCTCCAAACTTCAACAGCCCTCACCCAACTGCAGCCTGGCTCTGGTACTGAGCTGGGCAGCTATCAGGACTGGGGATATCTTGCTAGAGGTGGACCTGGCCCAAGACAAGGTCTTGGAGGGGCTCTGCTTTCCAAAGCAACGAGAAAAGCTCTGCGGTACCACAAAACCAGAGCCTCGTGCTTCCTCTTTGTAACGCACAGGACAAAACCGCGGGTCCCAAAGTGAGGGCAGAGCCAGGCTGGGTGGAAGCACACTGGCCAGGGGCTGCCCTTCACTGGGGGCACAGTGTGGGCAGGAGGAGGGGGGCCTGCTCTCACCCTCTCTAGCCCAAGGGCACTGCCAAAGGGCACGCTGGGCCGTGGTGTAGTGTGGGCGACCAGCCTTCAGAGAACGTGCTGCCCCCCCAGCCAAAGCCTGCAGTGAGCTGATTTACTTTAGTACCAGACCTGCAGCAACACTTCCACACACAGGCTCTATGGCCCATTTCCTCCCTACAAGTGTCTCTCCTCAGTCAGAGCTCTCCTGATTAGAGTCCTTGACTGACTTGCACTGCGGGAAAATAACGTGGCTTTAGTTTGTTTTGGTTGTTTTACTTTTAATGCAAGTGGCAGAGCTTAGCTGCCTTCATCTACTTAAACAGCAGCAATACAGCCAGTGATTTCAACCGAACAATCATGTATTCATCTGGCCCTCCCACTCAAACGCTATGAAAAATGTGGATAAAAACAATTTCTCCTTTGTCTGCATTTCAAAACTCACCTCATCCTCCTCACATGGGCAGAGGAACAACTGTTTTTCTTACAGGGCAAGGATTTAGCTAGACCGTGTGGTAACAGAGAAGTATTCCTAAAGCTTCAGCTGCAGGGCTTGAACACAGGTTGGCTTTTACTCAGAGGTCAGAGCTGTTCAAAATTCACTCCAGTCTATGGACTTGGCCTAACAGCCCTTGTAGACCCCAGTGGCAGATACAAGACCCTTTCCAGTAACACAAGTTTTTCTCTCCATTAAGTGTCACACGAACTGTTCTCAATTCAATATTGTGCCCTCTCACCCTTGTGTTTGAGACAGCAATGTCTGCACCAAGCCTCAAATGAGTCAGAGAGGCAGCCTGTGAGGGACAAAGAGGTTATGAGATCTCTGTAATTCTAGGGAGGTTTACAAAACTTGGAGCTGGGCCTTATTGCAGCTGCACAGATGCAGTCAAGGAGCACAAATCCTCAGTTTTCCCCCACAGAACCAATAATCCAAACACCACGTTAATTTACTCACTAAATTAGTGAGGACTTGGACAGCAAGACCATCTTCAGCCAGGTTGTGTGTCCCCTTCTGGGTGGACTTCCAAGAATTCACAATCAGATCTAGCTGCATCTGTGGCTGAGTGGACTGGATCACTCAGGGAAGTTTGTACCAAGGAACAGAGAAGGCAACAAAGCAACCCGTGCCTTTGGGATGACACAGCAAGGCTGTGCGCTGCACTGCCAGCCTGCACTCAGAGCACCCCCTCCTTCAGAATCCTTCACCTCCTTTAGGGGAGGACGGGCTGCAGGAAGATGGTCCCATAGCACAGCTGCAGAGCAGGAGTCAGGCAGGACTGGTACCTTGGCAGGGGCCCGTTTCAAGCTGATTATCAAATCTGAGAAACAAAGGGTAGCTTGTTTATGGCTTGGCAAAGCAGCAGCTTTTAGTTGGGAATATAGTGATGGTATTTGGAGGTCCCCAGCAGCACCCCTCCTGGAGGAGTTTTTGAAAGACCTTTCCCTTCACCTCTCTGGAGATGCTCGCTCTGGCTGAGGCCTTCAGGAAGCTCACAGCTTCAAGGCAGTATCATACTAACCAAAAACTCAGTACGGCTCTGCTCACAGAAAGATCATTGCAACCCTGATTCTCTCCATGACAGGCTTGTAAAATTCACGTGCTTACGGAGTAACACCCAGTGATGATCCACCTTAACCTAAAAAGCATTTTTGCCTTTTTAATCTTTTTTTTAAAATAACTTTTCATATACCAGCAATCCGCAGAGGTCTGGATGCATTTCAGCATCTAACAGGGCCTTCACGCAGCACCACTGTTCTGCAAAGGCTCTGTGCCAAGGAGTATGGCAGTGAGACCTTGTGTCCCCACAGTGGGGAGAGCCAAAGTCAT